TCTGCAGGGACGGGGACACAAAGGATCGGTGACCCCTCGGCGCCAGGCACGTCCCCGGGGGCGGCGGGCACGGGGTGCGGGTGCTGCTTACCTTGGCACTCGCGGGTGCCGGGCTGTGCCGCAGTGCCGGGGGGACACTGCCGAAAACACTGGCCCTTGTACAAGTAAAACTTGTCCTTGCACTTCATGCAGAAGTCTCTGCTGAAGCAGCTCTCGCAGCTGGGCGACCTGCACTCTGCCGGGAGGGAAGGGTCAGGGGACAGCCCGGGGCACCCCCGGCATCCACCGGGAACCCAAAACCTGCGGGCTCCAGGCTGAAGCTCTGGGCAAGGGGACGAAGCCCCCCCAGCCCGGCCGCAACCGGCTCCAGTGCCACCGGGGATGCTGTGGGAAATGGAGCCATCGCCCCTCCCGCAGCACTGGGACCCGCAGGGTGGCGAGGGGAGCAGGGGGACCCCCGGACGTACTTGTGCATCTGTTGACCTCCAGACCCCGCACACCGAAGTAGCCTGGGGGACAAGTGTGGACGCACATCCCGTACTGGCGGATGCCGTCCCTCCAGATGAGCAGGAAGAGCCGGTGGTGGCAGGTGATGCAGCCGTTGTCCTCAGAGCACAGGACGCAGCCCGTGCAGTTTTCCAGCAGGCCAGCGCTCGCTGCGGGGACAAATGGAGGAGAGGGACTATGGCATAGGTGCCGAGGTGGGTCCCAGCCCCGTGGCAGCCCCTCTCTGACATACCAGGGTCACAGCACTGTCCTGTCACCCTGCAAATGCCACCCCACCTCTCTCTGCTCCTCAATCCCCACCTCTGTCCATGCTGGCAGCAGAGGAACACATGGAGCCATCGCTCCCAGCTTGGTCACCACTGATGGCCTCCATCACTTCAAGATCCAGACCGAGGGCTTGCCCCACGCCCAGCACTGCCCATGGGTGACCATCTGAGCCACATTCCAAGCCAGCCTTGCCCATCCCATGGGAAGTGGAACAACCACTGGGTCTGTGGGTAGAAATATGATCTGACCTGGATTAATCAGTTGATGCCTGTTAAGTATCAGAGGACAAAGGGCATTTTGGATGCACTCAAGAGGAGCTGAGAAAAGGATCTGTCTGTTTGCTCGAGAGCCTCTGCTGCCTCCCTGGGTGCCTGTGCTGTACTCCCAGCCTGTGGGAGGGTGATTAACCCGAGGTGGGTGACCTCTGTTCCCAGGGACAAGGACAGGGTGCCAACATCCACCAGCCCACAGAGACACCGCCAACTGCTCCTGCTCTCTGACCCCACACAAAAGCAGCTTGGAGGGATGCTCCAGGCACAGGGACACTTTGGGAGCTGGGAAGCATTGAGCTCTGGGATTACACACACCCTGTGTCTTTTTGCAACCTCAGGCTGGCTGGGTATCATGAACGGGGCTGCTGAACTCCTGCATGCAGGAATCCAATGCCTTGACCGTACCCCTGTGTTGGGAACTGTTTGCTTGGCTCTGGCAACGCAGCCTGAGTAGCAGTGACAGTGCCAGAAGCCCCAGTACAGCATGCTTAGAACCTGGGCTCTACAGAACCATAGAATCACAGAATGGTTGGACACTTCAAGATCATCTCAAACCCCCTGCCACGGGCAGAGACACCTTCCATGGACAAGGTTGCTACAAGGCCGAGCCACCTGCTGGGTGCTGCCCAGCACAGACATAGACTCAGCTCTGGGATCAGTGGCTGGTCTTTCTGACCCCAGAAGCTGCATGAGAAGGGTCCCATGGCTGTGGGGTGGAGCAGAGGTGCTGGGGAAGCTGGGGGGATGCCGGCAGAGGATTCTGTCAGACAATGATGGTGGGTGATGCCCCGCAGCCCTGTGCGCTGATCCCTGGCAGCCAACCCATGGTGCTGTGGTGTCATGCAGTTGTCCCCAGGCTGGCTCATCCCAGTCCCTTCTCTGGGGCACACTGTCTGGGACAGCAGCACTGCCAGGAGCCTTCATTAGAGCTGCGTCTGCTGGGAGCGCTAACGAAGCACCTTGGATCCATTAAGTTGTTATGGTCTCTGTTAGATATTTACCAAATGCTGACAACATTTGTGTTCCTGGCTGCAGCTGGAGTAGCTTCCCTGGAGACCCATGGATTTACGAGCCTCTTTCCCTTCCCTAATTCTTTTTGATATTTAGGGGGTTTTTTGCTGCTCTCCTTCCATCTCCAGCCAGGGCGAAGAAGGTGGGGAGCCCTGGATGAGCTCTGGGGCCTCCTTCCTCTCACTGGCTTTGGAAACAATCCCATGTTATGGAGCTGGGAGAAGTGGGGTCATCCTCCTCCACTCCCCAGCGCTGCTGGCATGGAACACACGTCTCTGCCATGGGGAGTGACACTGGAAGCCACCACAGAGAGCAACAGAATGTGGCTCACTCTGACACTGTGGGCTTGGGGATTAGGGACAGGTGGTGGGCTCATCTCCTCCTGTCCAGTGGTGATGGCAGAGTGCAGGGCTGAGCTGGGATGGGCACTGGGCATGCGGCACAGTGGGTTCCTGAGTTGTGCTGGACATGGGTGTGACATCCCCCATCTCTGCCCACCCTAACCCAGTCCTTCTGGGAACCATGAGTCCCTGGCCCAGACCAGAGCTCCCAGTGGCAGGAGGGAGGCTGTGGAGTGCTGCAGCACCTTTCATGGCTCCTGGACTCTGTGCTGGCTTTTCTGTGCAGGTTATCCCAGACATATTGTATCCCATGTATGTAACATGTCTGGGGTGTGAAGCCATGGCCAGACCCCCAGGCTGCCAAGACCTGAGGCCTTTGGAGCATTGCAATCCCAACATCCAGCACTGGTAGCTGGAGTCCCTCTTGGTGCTTGGCTGTTTCCCATCCGGGGTGTTTTGGCCACCAGCCTGGCCACCCAACATCATCACACACCTACTGTCTCCACATGCCTTTAACATGGAACAACTTCAAGGGAAACTCTCTGGGCTCCAGCCCTGAGAGCCCTGGTCCTGGTCGGTCCTGCCCCTACCCTGGCACATGTTGGCCCCAAAACCAAGGCATTCCTGGCACAGAGCTGAGAACCAGCCCTGGACCCATTTTACACAGCCAGCTGGCACTGCCTGGCACTGCCCAGTGAAGGGACATGACCCAGTGCCCAATGGAGGGGACACGTGCCCCAGCACACCCTGCCCTTGCCCAGGCACTGAGCAGTGGCTCAGCTGGTGCCTCTTCCTGGGGAAAGGATGGGGCAGGGGACAAGCAGTGCCTGCAGTGGCTCTGAGCATCCTTCCAGGACCTTTCAGTCCTAAGGCACTTAGTGTCTTATGCAGAGAAAGGAAATACTGGAAAATCAGCCCATTTTGTGCTATCCCCACTGTGTCTGGCTCTGCTGGGGTTTGCAGCGCTGGTCCCAGTCCCAGCCAGTGTCCCTTGTCTCCTGCCAGCCCCAAGGCAGGGCTGGCACTGGGCAGGCAGCGCTATGGGGCTGCGCTCTGCATCTTCCCACACTGCCAAGCCAGCCCCGTGCCACACACCCAGAGGGGAACGCAGATGGTCCCCAAAGGGGCTCAGGGGTAGGGGTTGGGGGTCCCGACACCTCCAGCCCTGGCTCACAACTCCTCCCTGCTTGGTGCAGGCAGGACAGGCAGCCTGGTGTCCCAAAGCCACCCCACAGGACCCGAGCGGGACAAGCCCTCTGAGCACACTGTACCTTGCTTCTTCCACCGGTTCTGCGTGAGCATTTCCATGGAGCTGATGAATAACAGCAACATGAATATTATCCACTGCATCTGGGCAGGAGTGATGTCGGACAGGGAAGAAATCAAATCATCCAAGCGGCTGGAAGGCTCGGCTCCTGCCAGAGCCGGTGAGAGGTGGTGGGAGGGCGACGAGCGGCTCCGGGCTCACACCATCCCAACCCGAGCTTCGGACACCCAGCCACGCTTCAGGGCAGCTTGAGCCGGCGACAGTGGGGCAGGCTGGGGCTGTCAGGCCCGGGGAGTGCTCATGGTGGCGGGGAAGTGCCTGGCTGCTCCAGGGAGCACTGCCTTTATAGTCAGTGTCAGCCCCCTCTCCTCACCCTCCCTTTCAAAATAATAATAATCCTAAAAAAAAAAAATAAAAAAAATCCCCCAGCAGCAACAAAGCGACTGGCAAACGCCCTGGCTGGATCCCCCCGGAGCACTCCAGCCACCACCTCGGCTGGGAACCGTCCCGCCGTCCCGCCGCGGTCCGACTGTCCCGCTGCCATCCCAGCGCCGGGGTCACAGCGAAGCCCCCCGCAATTTTGGGGGGGTGGAGCCAGGAGGGTGACGCTGCCTGGGCCGGCCCCCCCGGCTCAGCCCCCCCGGCTCAGCCCCCCGCT